GCCAGAATGAGGAGTGTGTTAGTCAGCTACATCTATCTTAACAAAATACCACATACCTGGTGGTATAAACACCAGGAATTTACTCTCACAGTTCTGTACCCTGAAAGTCCGAGATCAAGGTGCCCACAGAGCCGGTTTCTTCTGAGGCCTCTCCTTGGCCTGCAGGTGCTTGTCTTCTCTGTGTCTTCCCTCCCTAGCTGTGTGATTGTGACCCAACCTCTTCTAATAGGGCTGCTAGGTGTAGCAATGCCAGAGCCCATGCTAGCGATCTCATTTTAACTTCACTGCTTTTTTTTTTTTTTTTAATGTATTCAGTACAAGGCCTACAGTGTCTCACTACACAGATCAGACTGCTAGTGATTCTCCTGTTTTCAGCCTCGCAAGAGCTGGGGCCACTAGCGCAGTCTCAATCCCTGTCTCAGGCGCCCGGGGTCGGGGGTAAAGGGCGGAGCCAGCACGGCAATCCGCGAATCAAATCCCAGCCGCTGCAGCGCAGCTACATAATACGCCTAAGCAGGCGCTTCAGTTGCTGAGCTACTTGGCCAGCCCTTCACTACTTCTTTAAAGAGCCTGTTTCCACAGATAGCCACATTCTGAGGTCCTAGGTGTTAAGATGTCCACGTAGAAAACCGGTGGTGTTTGTGGGGGGTTGTGTCAGGGGGCTGCACCGCGCAGCCGGGTCAAGGAGGGCAGGGGGTTATAGAAGTGGAACAGAGAGATGAATCTGGATGGCGGCCAACAGGGCCCAAGGTATGAGGAGAGATTTGCACGTGGTGCTGTAAGCAGTACAAAGTGCTTTTAAAGAAAATGGAACAAAGTAAAGTAATTTAGGGGGACTAGGAGGTGAGCAGCTTCGGCAGGGTGACTGCACAGGCCGCGATAAAAAGGTGGCATTCAGCCTCACCCCAAAAATCAGGGCCAAGGACAGTGTGGAGTAGGGTGCTGCTATTTATCCTATCTCTGTTTTTTTAAAGGAAGAGTAAAAGGAGGAAAATTACTTATTAAGGTGGAAATAGAGTGAAAGGGACTGGGCTAGAAGAGAGATTTCTCTGAATAAACCTTATTTTGTGGATTTGACTTCAGAACTGGGTAGTTTACTTAATTGTATATCAAAGTTAAAATTAGAACGAATTTCTAGAAATTTTAGCAAAATAAGAGAAGTTGTCCTGGTTGCAGTTTGAGAAGAGATCACAGAGACAGGGACTCTTCCAAGTGGCCTCAGAACGGCGAGCTGCCTGTCGTCTCTGCTGGCGTGTGCTTGCGGTCAGAAGGAGTCACGTGAAGAGCCCAGGGTAGGCTGAAGGCTGAGGCAGGAGGAGCGCAAGTTCAAGCTCAGCTCGGGCAACTTAGCCATTCAGTTAGACCCTGTCGCAAAATAAAAATAAAAGAGGGACAGAGCTGTAGCTAAATGTGAAGGCCCTGGGCTCAACCCCAGCACTGAAAAAGCAATGAGCTGTTATTTGAGGATTTTTTAAAATATGTATGATTATTTTGCAGATGTTGAAATGATTTTCAGAATGAGAAAAGGGAAAGTAGATATAGCTCAATTAAGTTATGGTAAAAAAAAACAACAACCCCCCCCAAAAAAACTATAGTTGTATTGAATTGGAAGAATCAGCATAAAGTCGTGTAATGTATTTATGCCTTTTATTTTCATTTTATTTTACTTTGTTTATTTTTACTTTATTTTACTTTTGGTCCTAGGAATCAAATATATGACCTTGTGCTTGCCAGGCAGGCACTGTGCCCCTGAGTGATATCCCTGTCCTTGTCTTTTGTTAAATATATAAATGTATTTGCTAGTTCTGTCCATGAGAAGCAAAAAACAATGACCCACCCATTTCCAGTGAGCACTTGGAATGGAGATTATTTATTTTTATTATTTTTTTTTTTTTGCGATACCAGGGATTGAACTCAGGACCTTGTGCTTGCCAGGCAAGCACTTATTCCACTGAGCTATCTCCCTGGCCCTGGAGATTATTCTTTAAGACAGAGTCTCACTATGTAACCAGGCTGGTCTTGAACTCATGGTGATCCTCCTGCCTCAGCCTCCCAGATGCTAGGATTATAAGCATGTGCCACCACTTCCCATGGAGACCTTAATTGCTAGTCTTTTTTTTTTTTTTTTTTTCAGAACGGGTGATTGAACTCAGGCCCTTGTGCTTGCCAGGGAAGTGTTTGTTCCACTGAGCCATTTCCCCAGCCCCAGTTGCTAGTCTTAATCTCTCCATTTCCTACTTTCCTTATAGAGGAAACTAGAGAATCTTGGGAAGAAATGGCTGATTTCAGGGATTGGATAGAAAATACACAAGATGTGCTTGAAAGGCCTTGTCATACAAAATAAGTAGGAAATGAGCAACACTAGTAGAGCCATGTCCAGAGGAATGAGCCAACAAGAAGAAGCTCTTGGGAGTCAAAGACAGCAGCAACAAGGGTGCCTGCAATGGCCAGACACGTGTCACATGTGCTTCCACCCTGGGACCACAGTGCACCAGAAGAAAGCACCTTTCCTGGCCCGCTTGGAAACGCAGGTGCCCAGAAAACACCTCATGTTCCAAACCAGAAAATAAAGGGGAGTCAAGAAAACATTAATTTATCTTTCTTATGCAAACAAAATCTCAGGGTAGCCAAATAATAGACAAAAGGAAGTTTCTTGTTTATAAAGTATATCAGCTCATAAATGAAGAAAAACCCAAGAGCTCTAAACTGCCCATCACAACCCCTAAAGAAGTAATGATGCCATGCAATAATCATTGGGGGCTGGCAATACCAGAAAACACGAGCAGGTATTGTCTGTCTCACCACCAAGGATGTGGTCTTGCCAAAATAAAGCTAAGTGGGACCTAATTAAACCTCAAGGTATAACTACTGATTTATAAGAAATAGCAAAGACAGAGGAACAAATTATATCTGAGATACACCCAGGAATATCCAGACTGTGAGGATGTTTCTGGTATAAACCTCCTGATATCCTCCCTCTAATAATTCTGCAGGTTAGTCCAGTATACAGTCATGTGTGACAGCCACTGCTGTGGACTAAAGCAGACTTGCAAGGGCCCATCCACAAATTACAATGCGTGGGCAAAATTCAAGCAAACACAAATAGCTCAGCGGATTAAAGCACCTGCAAGCAGGCACAGGGGCTGGGGGTTCGATACTCAGGCCTGCCATGCCAGCCCCACCCCCAGGACATGCTGAGACAGCAATTGAGACTGGGCCTGGTGGTGTGCGCCTGTAATCCCAGCTCTTGGGAGGCTGTAAACATGCAGATCCCTAGGAGTCTGATGTAGTAGTGAGACCTGGTAGACACCCTGTAGACACTTCCCTAAAAAATAAATATATAAAAAAATCAAGCAAACAAAAAATTTTTACTCAGGGAATTTTTTTTTTTCAGACAGGATGTTGCTATGTGCTTCATGCTGTGTTTGAACTCACTATGTGGCCCAGGCTGACCTTGAACTCACAGCCCTCCTCCTGTGTCAGCCTCCAGAGTGTGGGATTACAGATGTGCATCACAACATCTGGCTCTTGGGAAATGTGAACAATGACTAAATACTTCAAGGTACTGGGGAATCCTTTTGTTGTTGTTGTTATAGTCGTTTGTTTGTTTTAGGGGTGAATGTTATTGAAATTATGCTTTTTTAAAAAGTCCTTATCTTTTGGAGACTCACACTAAAATATTGGCAGATGAAATGATAGGATGTCCTGGATCTACGTCAACATCATCATAAGGTTGGGGGAGAGTAGACGGAAGAAGATTGCTCATATATATTTTTTTAATGTACTTAGTACAGGGTCTCACTACACAGATTGGACTCCTAGTGATCCTTTCTGTTTTTCAGCCTCCCAAGCACTGGGGTTACAGGCGCACGCCACCAGGCCCAGTCCCAATCACTGTCTCTGCCTGCCCAGGGGCGGGGCCAGTGTGGCAGGCCGTGCTCATATTATTAATGATTCTAGGGACTCATGCATGGGGTTCATCATACTACCTTCTTACTTTTGTATATATCTGTAACTGTACATTATAAAATGTTTTAAAGGCCCCCAACAATGCAAAACTATGTTACCTGGAAAGAGGTATAAATTAATACCTGTTAGTGACTAACCACACTGACCTAGCATGTATTAAAGGTATGAGATAAAAGATGTTAGTTTCTTTAGGAAAAAATAAGGACAGAATCGACATAATGTAGATCTCAATGTCCCCCAAAGGGTCAAGGTTAAAACCCTGGTCTCCAGTTTGGGACTGTTGGGAAGTGGTGGGAATTGAAAGCGGCAGGGCCCAATAGGAAGGTCTGAGGTCACTGGGGCATGACCTCAAGGGAGATTTTGAGGCCTTGCACTCTCACTCTCACCTCCCCACCTGTATCTATCTCTCTCTTAGTCCCCAGCCTCAAAGCCATAGATCTAATGGCTTATAGATTGCAACCCTGCAAAGCTGGAAGCCAAAATAAACCTTTCCTCTTCATAAATTGATCATCTCAGATGTTTTGTTACAGTAACAGACCACTGATCAACAGAAGTATAGATAACAAAATATGACCCAGAGGAAAAGGTCTCAGATATGAGGCAGTCCCAAGCAGTCAGACATTCTTATTTTGGTGCTGGGGGGCTGGGATGCTATTGGGGGTGCTCTCAGTATGTGACTCTGCAAATGGGAAGTGGGTTTGATGACAGCAGATCTTGGTGAGGAAAGCTGTCTTAGAATGGGCCAGCTTTTTATCAGTTATCACATTCCAGTTGAGGTGGGCATCTCCCCACATACTAGGGAGTAAGAAATTTGTCCCTCCCAACCACCCCTATCCCAAGCAGGAAAGGCCCACCACGCTTACAATCTTACTTTCGGAAACACAGCCAAGACCCTGGACTCTCCCATGGGGAGGTCTGCCCAATGGACCAGGCGGCCTGCAGGTTCTGACTCACGAGACACAGGACGTAGATAATATTTTAATAAGTCTTACAGCAACCCAGAAGAAGCAGGCTGGCAGACCTTCGTTCTATCATTAAGTCCCAGCTCAGTCCAGGGAAGGAGAAGAAAATTTCAAAAGCAATTTTTGACTATGTCTCCTTTTTCCCACCAAACATGACAAGGATAAGCCATCCCAGAAACCATTTTATCTGGGGTTTGACCATTCGGCTGTTGACACACTTCCTTGCCTCCATCTCATACCAGGACAAATACGAAGCAGAAGTCCCCCTAGTAGATCAACATGTGTTTGCATGTTAAGCCTCCCTCACAACAAAGGCAGCCATGATGTTTTAACCTGAACCGTCCCTCACTCCACCCCACACTCTGCCCTGGCCGGTTTTCCTCTTTCAGTTACATGGAAGACATTGTCCCTGCCTTCTACCATCGGAAGAAGGTGGCCAAGGGCAACGTGACCGTTTTCCTAAACTCTCCATGGCCAAATGTCCTTACCCATCTCCCACATGGCCAAGAAAACTTCAGACCAGTCACACAGCCCCAAACATGACCTTGGCGCTGTCCTGCTCACTTACTCGGGCCCATCCATCCCAGACAGGAAGAGGAGAGCAGCTGTCGCCTCCCAGAGGAACTGGACTATCCTGCTGGGGCGGCAGCCAGGCAGGGAGAGCTACTGACTTTATTTCCTCACGTAGAATACCAAATTAGGTTCTTGAGATACAGTGTCCCCAAAGGGACATGATTTAGGCAGAATCCATGCTTTCCTGTCAGGCCCTTCATCTGAAGGATGTGTGTGGCTGATAGGCTCTCCTGCGCTCTCTGTTCAGAAGGCTGGCAGGTGTGTCACACAGGTGTGGACGAGAGCCACATGCCCACCGCGGGGGGAACTGCCTCTGACATCAGCGTGCAGAGGCCTGGCTGGACCCTCAGGTAGCTCGCGGCACTTCGTCCACAAGCCTTGGCTAGAGCAGAGCAGCAGGACCGCCGTCGCGTCAGGCGCACTCCCAGGTCTCCCTCCCCCACTCACTCAGACTACAGTGCCACGAACGAAACCATGATGGTGGAAGTCTGAGTTTCTGTGTCACCCCATGGGACAGTGTGACACTGCACTAGAAGTCTGGGCAAGGACCAGGCACAGCAGAGAGATGTCTGTCACAGTGTGTGTCCCCAACTGAGTCCTTGGGGGATGAGAAATCAGCCCAGATCTCTGCACCCTTGTGCTCCCCGTGGCACCCTTAGAAGTCATATGGGGACACAAAGATGGTGACCTTGGACACATGGTTGGCCTGGAAGGAGCGGTCCAGGTATTCCGACATGTCCACATCCACCTCCAGCGTCTGAGGCCCCTCCAGGGTCTGCACGAGGATCAGCTCCCCTGTCTGCCGGTCGGAGCGCTGCATCACAAAGTGGCCACGGCTGTTCCCACCCACGATCCCAAACCGCAGGCTATTGGGTGCCGATCGGCTGGGGGCTGAGGCTGTGGCCATGCGGAAGAGCGTGATGGGCGTCTTCAGGTTGGAGGGCAGAGAGAGGTAATGGAAGGAGATGGTCTTGGGCGTACTGCGGCAGGGCCTGCTGTCCATGGGGCAGGGGTTTCGCTCACACTGGCTAGAGCAGAGGCAAAAAAGAAAGCTGTCAGATTTGGTCCTCTTGCAGGGTGACCCTCCCTAGCCAGGGGTCCTGACCCCAAACTCTGGGGCTGCAGGCAAGAAATGTGGCTGCAGCGAAGCATGGCTAAGGAAGAGGTGCTGCTTCCAGTCCTGGGGGCCCTCCCAACCCACGTGTGTGTGTGTGTGTGTGTGTACATGCCTATACATGTACAAATGCGTACATATGCATATGTCCTGTTACTACAGTTGTTATAGAAAGTTAAAGCCTCAAAAGATTAAGTAATGACAAAGATGGGGCTGGGGAGATAGCTCATTGGTCTAAGCACCTGCCTGGTAAGCACAAGGACCCGGGTTTGATCCCAGGTACTGCACACTGTGCACTATGAGTCCGAGCTGTGTAGTGAGACCCTGTACCAAATAAATACATTTTTTAAAAGATTTAAAAAATTATAAATGCCACACCAGCCCTGTCTCCAGGGCAGGCTGAGCTGGCCACACACACACACACACACACTCACACACAAATAATAATAATAATAATAATAATAGATGTGAGGGCAGGTGCCCTTCTCAGCAGTAGCTGCCAACATCCTGCAGAGTGTCCTCCTGCACCATGAGCTTTCCAAACTCAACACCACTCATTCTTAAGCAGGAAGCGCTGGCTTCCTGAGCCATCCGGATTCCGGGTCTCACGCAAATGACTCTGATATTTGCCTGCCTTCTCCAAGGTAAAAGACAAGGATAGGAGTCAGCCTGTTGGGGGATTCTGCACTCATGATTACGCAGATCAAATATCACATCTGACCGCTAATTTGATGTCCTTGATGGTTACCACAGCTAGTTTTCTTGTCCCTTCATTAAGTGACTCCTTGAGGAAGGTTTCAGTGTCATCAGTCTCTCTAATAACTGCTACCCCTGCCTCTCTTGCTGCTTCTAATCTGCCCAGTCCTTTTTTTTTTTTATTTTTTTATTTTTTTTATTTTTTTTATTTTTTTTTATTTTAGGGAAGGGTCTACAGGGTGTTTAGGGTCTCACTACTAGATCAGATTTGTGGTGATCCACCTGTTTACAGCCTCCCAAGAGCTGGGATTACAGGCACGTGCCACCACGCCCAGTCTCAATTGTCACCTCAGTGCATCCCAGGGGCTGGGCCAGCACGGCAGGCCTGGGGATCCAACCTCTGGCCCCTGAGCCTGCTTGCAGGTATTTGGCCTGCAGAAGGCTGCTGAAGTATTTGGCCAGCCCTCTGCCTAGTCCTAATAACAATCAAAATTACTTTTTTTTAATCATTCATTTTTAATCTCAAAAATAAGCACAACTAGAAATAAATGACATTTCATCAAAAGTTATAGTCAAAATCTAATACTTTTTTTTTCTGGCAGAACCGGGGATTGAACTCAGGCCCTTGTGCTTGCCACGGAAGTGCTTATTCTACTGAGCCATCTCCCCTGTCAAAATTACTTTTTTTATAGCATCAGTTCTCTTCATTTTAAAGACATTTCCAGGGGCTTAGGATCTCTCTCTCTCTTTAAATCTCTCTTTTTGGGCTGGTGAGATGGCTCAGTGGTCTAAAGCACCTACTTAGAATAAGCTTAGCAAAGCACAGGGACCGCGGTTCAATCCCCAGCACCACATGCCAGCCAGCCCTGCCCCCAGGTGGGCTGAGCTGGCCACACACACAAAAAAATAAATAAAATTAATTAATTAAAAAAAATCTCTCTTTTTAAAAATGTATGTGGTACAGGGTCTCGCTACACAGCTCAGACTGACAGTGATCCTCCTGTTTTCAGCCTCCCCAGTCCCGGGATTACAGGCACGCGCCACCACGCTTGCACTGGGTTGGCGGCTCAGCCTGCCCAAGAGTGGAGCCAGCGCAGCATGTGGTACCTGGGATCCAACTCTGGTCCCTGAGCTTGCCTAAGCAGGACCTTAGCAGGATCTCTTTTTGAGAAGTATCTGTGCCTTATGTGAATCATAGTCATTCCTCCTATAAAGCCCATCTCTCAACCTCTAAAACAACTTTATTTACTAAATTCTGGGGTTACCAGACTTTAGCACCACTGGAAAAGCAGAGGGATGGGATGGGTAGCACCCTGACACGCCCCTGACGGCAGTCTGTGCCAACTGGGGGCGCTGCAATCCCTCCATCCTCTGCGGCAGGCACACGGTATATCTCTCCCGGGGGCACGCTGAGTTCTTACTGCACCAGACCAGCAATGCATTAAGTGGATGCAAGGGAAACGGATGCTTTAGGGAAGCTGCGTGCCCACCTCCCGGCCCCTGGTCTTACGGGTAGGTCCAGAAAGTTTCCAGCCCAGCTGCACGGGGCCCGGGTGAGGGCGGCCCTGCTGCACTCACAAGGGAGAGGTCTTCACATAGCTCACGTTGTCGCTGCCCTCAGGACATTCGGGACTGACGCACTGGAAGCCACCCCCGGTGTTGATGCATGTGGTCCCCCGGGGGCATAGATGCTGTTGGCCAGCACACTCATCCACATCTGAAATATGGGACACACGAGGAGGGTTGAAACCCCTCTGGTTCCCCCCGCCATCAAACCACATGAAAGGCTGGGACAGGTCCGAGGATGCAGTCTCCACTCGCTTGTTCTTAGAGCAAGAGCTTTGTCCCGCTTGACCATCTGGAAGGCGGCTGCGGAGAGTACAGCCTCGCAAGGAGAATGCCTCTTTCTGGGGTCCCTCTATGGGATCTGACAGGCGACAGCAGCTCAGAGGACCGGGTGTGGAGGGTGCCCGCGGCCACCTGTCTCTGCCACTGTCTCACCTTCGCAGCTCTTCCCGTCGGCCAGAGTCTGGTACCCGCTGGGGCAGGAGCAGCGGTAGGAGCCCGGGGTGTTCACGCACGCGTGCATGCAGAGCCGGGGGCGCCCCTCCTGCCCGTACAGCTCGCACTCGTTCACGTCTGCAGAGGAGAAAGCGCCCGCCGTGACTCTGGAGCCCTGTAGCCGCATGGACTGCCGTGGCCCAGGGCGACTGCAGTCTCTGGTCATCAGGGGAGGTCGCCAAAGGTGGGCTGGGCAGGAAAGCCGAGCGGGTTGGGGACTCCTCCAGGCAACGAGTGCAGGCCCCTGAACAGCTCCAGGGACTGGTCTATTTGTGAGTAGAGACCCACGCCCCGCCCTTCACCTGCCAAGGTAGAGTTGGAACTGGGTTCATGGCTCTTGGTACCCAAGAACGCTGGGGCGAGCCTCATATTCCTGCTGTGTTCCCTATAGTGTTCTGGGCACCCGGGCCATCTAACTCGCAAGGCCCTAAATAGGGCTGCACCAAACCCACAAAATGGGCGTGGCTCACGATGCCACGCCCACACAGTCCCGCCCTTCCGCATGCGCCTCCGCCCCAGCCCTCCGGGCCCCGCCTACCCTGACACACGCTGTCGCCGGTTCCCGCGCCGCTCAGGTGGAATCCCGCCTCGCAGCTGCAGTGCTGCGCCTGCTCTACCTGCGCGCAGCGGGGCGCGCGGCTGAAGGCGGGGTCGCCGGCCGTGTCCCCCTCGGGGGCCGCTGCAGGAGGAAGACGTGCTTAGTGCGCTGCTCCCCGGGCCGCCTTCCGGGTCCCGCAGCGGGGAGGCGCCGGAGAAGAACTGGCACGGGCACAGCCACGCTCAGAGAGCTGACTCTGGAGCAGGTAGAGGAGAGACAATGAACCCCGGCCGAATGGGGGGCACAGGACGTGGAGGCCCCGGAAGGCCACGATGTATGGCAAACAGACCGAACTATGCCCACGAAGGTGGAACGTTTGCATTTCATTTTAAGAGGCTTAAAGGAAAGCCTGGCCAGGTGACGCTTGCACCTGAGCATTTTGCCCCCATCTTTTTTTTTTTTTTCCTCCAGGTACTTGGGATTGAGCCCGGGGCTACATCCCAGCCCATTTTAAATTTTGAGGCAGTACTCGCTAAATTGCCTGGATCTGGCTCAAATTTGCCTCAGTCTACCATAGTACTGAGATTAAAAGCATGCACCACACCTGCCTTGAACTTTTTTTTACAGAAGTCTTGGTTGCAGTATAGTTTTGAAATCCCATCTCTTCTCCATAGAGTCCTTAATTGGATTTTTATGCCATGTACAAAGCCAGCTACTGTGTGACTGAGACCTCTAGCTGGTGCTATGCAGACTTACTGATCAAATATCTGGTTATCCAGCTGCTAAACCGCTAGGGACTGCATCGGTAGTCCCTAACTGCGCAGGGTGTGGTGGAACCATTTGCAGGTAATGTGATCTTGTTGGCAGAAGAAATGCTGCTCAGTGCATCTTGTCCGGGAATTTGGTCAAATTCCCAACCTGGAAGCTGCTAGCTTTGAGTCAGTCCTGTCACTCATGTTTTCTTCCATAGGGAGGATTAGAGCTCTAGGTACATAGAAGAGCTGAGTTCCACCACAGAGCCACTTTAGTGAGCCAGAGAGATCAACGGGTGGAACCAGAGAGGAAAAGCCCATGGGCCGAGGGGCCCTAAGCTCTGCCCTCCTCTGCATTTGGTGACCCATGACTAAGGTCCTCATTCCCCTGCCATGAGACTTCCTCCCCACCATGGGACATCCTTCCCTAGCTCCACAGTGGCTACGTACCAGCATGGGCCTGATGCTGACAGCGGATCCCAGTCCTTCCTGGAGGACAGAGGCATCTGAACTGGTTGACTCCTTCTACACACGTCCCACCATGTTGACAAGGCTGACTGGCACACTCACTGATCCCTAGGACAGAAAGATTTCCAGACACAATTATGTGAGCTCTGATTCTAATGCGAACAGAAACCAAGGCTGGGCCAGCTTTGTTTCCATTGCAGCACCACTGTGGCTTTCCACCTCTCACCCTCTCCTCCTCCTGCAAGAGCTTCGAGGGGACAGATGGGGTTGGGAAGCAGCCCACTGCTTCTCTAGACAGCAGGCCCTGTGCCTGGTGCACAGTGTCCCCCAGGCTCTGCACGCAAGAGCTGGCCCAGCCCTCGGCCCCACCCTGCCCAGGGGGCACTAGGTTATTTGCAAGGTGTGGCCTGGGCAGCTGGAGCCATCTGGTGTGCTGCCTGGGCCTCTGGCCTCCTGGCCTCGGCCAGCCAGCACCTAGGTGGAAGCCCTTTAAGCAGGTGTGAAACTCAGCAGTGATGGCAAACCGAGGGATGGGCCACTGGTGTGTCCAAGGATCGGGGAATGCAGTTCTCCACATTCCCATCCAGAAGTCCCACGATAGTCAGGGAGATAGCTCTGCAGCATAAGCCCCTGCCTGGCAGGCACAAGGTCCTGAGTTCAATCCCCGGTAGAAAAAAAAAAAAAAAGCAGTGAAAGAGAAGTTAACAGAAGCCCCGCTGTGATCTACACAGAGTTTGTTGGTGTTTCCCTGACATCAGTAAAGGAAAGTGGTCATTGCTCACCCCCAGCAGTTCTATGGAAAAGCTATACACAGAGGTACATATTTTGTTTATTAGTTTTTTCTTCTTGAACTCAGTGACCCTCCTGCCTCAACCTCCCAAGTGCTGGGATTACAGGTATGCTTCATCACACCCAGCTCCCCAGGGATGCTCATTTCAAAGGTTCAATAGATTTTTTTTTTCTGAGCACTAGGCTTACAGGTGTTTTTCTTTGCTTGCTTATAATTTTTAACATTCTTCCATTTTTCTACCATAAACATTTATAAATGGTTTAATTAGAAAAAGGTTATTTCTGAAAACCCTCAAGCTGTGTCCGTGTTATGGATTCCCAGGCGTGCTGTCTTGCACACACAAACTCAAGCTGGAGGAGAAGCGTTGTGAGCGCAGACTTGGCTACTGAGGCTCCCGAGAGGCTGCAGCAGGTGCTCTGCTCTCCATGGGCAGCGCAGCCTCGTTTGGGTGGCTGGGAATGGACTTCGGCTTCCCTGTGCCCACTGCAGGGTTTCTCTTTGTAGGGACCCAGGCCGCCTGGGGAGGCTGCCACTCCGGGGGAGAGCCCGGTCTGTCTCTCCCCCCAGCCACTCCCCGATCACAGGACCCACTGGTTTCCAGGCTGGGCCTGCAATCACACTGTACTGCCGTGTCCACACCATGTAGCCCCAGTGATGCTTGCCAGCCTCGTCTGAAAGCTGGGCTGTGAAGATGCGAACAGGGAACCCAAAAACTCAGACACTGACATCTTTCACCGTGGCTGCAGACGGCCAGGACTATGGTCTCTCCTCTGGGTCCCTGTGTGGAAGACAATGGACCCTGTGGGGAGGGCAGGAAGAAGCCAGCGCCGGGAATGGGTCCTCGGTCTCGCTGTGGGTACCCCTGGGCAGTCACGTCTCCACATGCTCCAAGCAGACCACCTCATCCTGATGGGCAGTGGGGCGCTCAGCAGCCCAAGGCCCAGTCTAGTACCAGGTCTGTGTCCAGATGCCAGGACAGTTGTCATTTCATTCCCATGGGGCCCCAGCAGTGGCATTTAATTAGTGGTGGCGATTTCAGAGCTGTGAAAAGGGTGATGCAGAGGTGGCAGGAGAGGTTGATGAGCCCGAGCCTGGCAGTAATCCTGTTTTAATTAACCATGCCTTGAGCACTTCCTGTTCCCCTGACACTAGCTAAATTTTTCTACTCATGAGCTGTTCTTTCCTCTTCTAATTCCTCCCTGATTCTGTTACCTTACTTCACATTTTTTATTTCTTCATCTCACTTCTGAAGTTTTCTCACTTCTGTACCTGCTGCTGTTTCATAGTTTTTATCTTTTTGGGCAGTGCATGTGTGAGATAGGGTCTCTCTATGTAGTATGGGTTGGCCTTAAACTCACTACATAGCCCAGGCTACCTTGAACTGGAAGCCATTCTCCTGCCTCAGCCTCCCAGGTGCTGGGATTATAGGCATACAGCACCACGCCTCTGGCTCCGTTACTCATTCTGGAGTGAGATAATTGTTCACATACAGCTTGGGTGACTTTATGACTCCAAAATTCCCACTTTTGTTGCTGTTTCAGCAGTTGAACCCAGGGCTACCTCTTTCCCAGTTCTGCCTGGTTTATGTGCCTGTTTGGGTGATTGTCTCCTCCCTCATGCCTCTTCCTTCCAGTAGTGTCTCCTCAAAAGGAGGGTTGGACAGGGAATTTTGAGGTCTCCTAAGGCCACACAGTTCCAACCACAGAAGCTTCCTATTGGAAAGCAAAGCAAATCCAAAGGTTGAAAATTTTGGACCAGAAAGGATGGCAGTGAGACAGATCTTCGTCAAATAACTGGGTTTTAAAGAGAACAAATGCTGTTGAGCGACCAATCAGAAAGGAGATGCTTCTAATGGAAACAGCATGAGTTTCGACAGAAGATGTAGAGTAACCCATTTAGGACATCCAAGGACAGGAAAGCCATGAAAGAGATATTTTATATCCACTCAAATTGACATCCAGCACACTGTTTGGACAGGGGGAGAACTCAATTTCTTTTAGGGGCAGGATGAGGGGAGGGTGAGGCTCAACTTCCCATCTGCTGGGATTATAGGTGCATGCCACCACTCCTGACCCAAGTTCTGCCTTGTTCTCTGTCCCAAGTGCTTGAGGAATCAACTGAAAAGATGTCATTTGAGCAAGGTAACACTCCCACAGAGTAACAACAAATAACAACCAATTGTCAGTTGTGAACTTGATTTGGGCCCCAAGAAAACGGAGCTTTATGAGTATGTGATACAAGTGAGGGGCTTAAAAAAAAGACTAATTAGATATTTGATGTGCTAATGAACTGTGTGCTCCTAACTGGGTTTCAGGTAAGATCACTCTAATAGGAAGGAATGGTGATGCACACCTGTAATCCTAGCACTTGGGATTGACTTACCTATCACTATTATGTGCAGGTGTGAATGTGCCTGTGGGATCGGGAAAAAGCCCAGGGCCTCGTGAGTGTTGCTCAAGAATTAAAAAAAAAAAGAATAGCTGGTGTGGTGGTGCACACACATGATCAGCACATGGAGGCTGAGGCAGGAGTTTGAGGCCAGCCTGGGTAACACAGTGAATTCAGTGCCAGCCTGCACTACAAGGTGAGACCCTGTCTGAAAAGAAAAGAGAAAAAGTTCACATCTAAAAGCACGCCCTTCAGGGAAAGAAGGGAGAAAGGAAAGCAGGGTGGTGGCCGAAGCCCTTGCCTAGCATGTATGAGGCCCCGGGTTTGATCCTCGGCAGGATGTACATCTACCTCCCAGCTCCTCACGCTGAAGCCATCACTAGGTAAGGCAAATGTACTAAAAAAAAAAATAAAAAAATGACTTGCCTGCTCAGCATAAAGGACCAGAGTTAAATTCCTCATAAAAAAAAAAAAAAAAAAAAAAAAAAAAGGAACGGGAAAATAATCCAGGAAGCCGCAGGCTACCGTCTGTCCTGCAGTTCTGGGCCTCCCCTGCCCGCTGGGTGTGTGATGGCATAATTCCGTGTGGTCTCCTTCTAGGCCACGTTGGGTTCACTGCCCTTTCCAAGCAGTTGGCTGGAGAGCAGGGATAGCTCCTCACAGTGCTGCCAGGTCCCCCGACACGGACACCATGACACTCTTTTTTTGTACTGGGGATGGAACCCAGGGCCTCTGCGCTGTGCTGCAGGTGCAATCCCCCATCCTTTGTTAATTTTCTTTTTCTTTTTTTAAATTTGAGACAAAGCTTTTCCCAGGATGAACCTGAATGTGTGGTCCTCCTGCCTCAGCCTCCCAGTTCTGGAATGGCAGATAGATGTCCACCAGACCCGGCTAAGTAACTCCTTACAACTATATCTCCCACCTTTGATATTTTTATAATTAACTTCCTGAAGACACATTTTTTCAGATACCTTCTCTGATCAACTGTTTCTATTTTAATCACATGACACTCACTATTAAATACACATTATTGAGAAGAATATTTGGATAATATTTGCCCAAGGAAGAACAAATAGCACATGGGTAAAACAGGCTCCACCCACACAACTGCTGCCTGGGGTGGGGGCTGGAGAGCAACCAGCCTGGATCCATTCTTTAAAGAGCCGGATATCCACTGTAATGCAAATCAAACGTCCCCGGGACCCTCCGCTGCAATTGTCTATAATTGTGAGGTGCTTGGCTGGAATGGAGAGCTCTCAGGGCCTAGAGCTGATCCTAGACACTGGCATTTTGTGACCTGCATACCCCTACCAGCTCCCAGTGGCTCTGAGTGCTTCTGGTCATTGACTTTGCCCATGTTCTTTCCAGGAGAGGGAAGGAGAAGCCTGAATCCCTCAGCGAGGAGCAGTCTTCGGCTCCACATTTTCAGACATGGCACCTTCCTGAGCTTCCTCTCTGTTTGTAAGTTATTTAAGCAAAGTCACCTCTGGTCCTGCGAAGGACCAAGTGCTTGAAGTCCCAGCTGACCTGGGAGGTTGACATAGAAGGAGGTCACTTGAGCCAAGACTGGACATAGCAGGACCCTAGCACAAAAACACCCACCAAGAGCAGAGTAACAGATATGTTTACAGATCAAGAAAAGCAACTTAGGGAAAGGGCCAGCTAAATAGCTCGACCCACTAAAGCTCTTACTTAGCTAGAGCGGAAGGACCAGGGTTCAATCTCCGGCACTGCCCCCGTAGTATGCTGAGACAGTGATTGAGACTGGGCATGGTGTTGTACGCCTGTAATCTCAGGGCTTGGGAGGCTGAAAACAGGAGGATCAGTAAAAGTACAATCTACACAGTGAGACACTGTAGACCCGATACTCAATACATTAAAAAAAAAAAAAAAAAAAAGCAACTTAGGGAAACAACACAGAATTTACCAGAAAGGATATCCAAACCAAAGTGTGATTTCAGAGACCAGTAATAAAATGACACTGAAATTGCTTCCTTAAAAACAACACTGATGGGGGCTGGTGAGATGGCTCAGTGGTCTAAAGCACCTACTTAGAACAAGCTTAGCAAAGCACAGGGACCGCGGTTCAATCCCCCAGCACCACATGCCAGCCAGCCCCGCCCCCTGGTGGGCTGAGCTGGCCACACATACACACACATAAATAAATAAAATTTTGTTAAAAAACAACAACAACACTGATGGGTTCTAACAAACGACACACTTCATCAGCTTGAAGCCTCTTGTTCGTTTGCTTGACAATAGTTTTGGGATTTTATAGATCCTGAAAGTACCGATGCTGCTACCGCTGCCAATTAATGACTCCTTAGAACACTACAGGACAGATTCTCTTTTGACACTGTCAGTTGCTGGAGAAACTTATAATAAGATTATTCAAAGTAGAGCCTGCCAAATAGTTCAGTGGATTAAAGCACCTACAAACAGGCGCAGGGACCGGAACCCCGGCCTGCCATGCTGGCCCCGCCCGCGGGGAGGGCTGAGACAGCAATTAAGACAGGGCTTGGTGGTGCACACCTATAATCCCAGCTCTGGGGAGGCCGTAAACAGAAGAATCACTATGAGTTCTATCTAGTAGTGAGACCCCGAACACCTGGTAGACCCTTCCCTAAAATAAAATTAAAAAAAAAAATTCTTCAAAGTGCATGTGGACTAGAGAAGTGTTTGGGTACTTCAACTTGATTTTGTGTATATTTTATGTTGAAAAGCCGTCATCTAAAACCTGATTTGAGAGGAAAGAGCATTCTGTCCCTAAGCTTTTGATAGTTTGCATAAATTGGAATCAGAATTTTCTTGTGTTTGAACTATTTTAAAATTAAAATTCTGCTGATTAAGAAAAAAGCCCACCCACAGGCCAAGCGCTGGCTCTGCGCTGCTCTTTTCAGCCCACTTACTTATGCAGTATTTATGTTTCCCCTCACTCTCTGGCTAAAACTCACGTGCACTCTGCCCTGCAAATCCCCCTGAGTGGTGTGAATGTCGGGTATCCATGAATTTTTCATTGCACGTTCAGGAGAGCCAGCACGCTGTGTTCGCCACCTTTCATTTTTCTCTGGATCAAGAAAGTACTGCGTAATACCGAGCGCAGAGAAAAGAGAGCCCTTGTCACATCCCAAAGTCTCCCCAGGAGCTGTCTGCTCCAAGTCCCAGTGTAGCTGCAGAAGACCCCGCAGAGGACACAGGCAGGCTAGGCCGCTGGCCGCCGTGGGTATTTCCTGTACCTCTGCCCCCAGCCACAGGCGGCCTCTGGTCCTCACACTGATGCGCTCCAGTCACCAGCGTCCAGGCTGAGGGGAGGCCGGGAATCCAACCACCACTCCCCGCTGTGTGACCAACCTAACTTCCTTCACCTCTGTGTGCCTCTGTTTCTCTATATGCAAAGCAAGTCTAGGTCAAGGTGAGGGTTTAGCAAACTGGTGCAGCATGCAGGTGAGGGGTCAGCAATGTGGACCCTGTTTTGTAGGTGTGAAGCTGTGTCCCAGGGGAGGACCCTTCCCCCGACAGCTCCCCAGGTGCACTGGGGGGCGGGGAAGAGGTCAGTACCTCTGCAGCGGGGCTGCTCAGCTGTCCAGGTGCCGTTGGGGAGACACGCGACGCTGCTGGGCCCTACCAGCCGGAAGCCTGGGTTGCAGGTGAAATGGACTTCGTGGTCCACTAAGTACTTGCTTCCAAACTTCCTGCCGTCCTGAGGGGCGTTCAGGGGCGGGCAGGAGGCTGCGGGGAAAGAACAGGGTCAGGAGGGCGGGCAGTCTAGAGACCTCGTCTGTCCCATCATGGTCTCTACCGCCTTAGGGACCCAGGCCTGGGCATGCGCTCTTCTTGGCCTGCGACGCTGCCTCCCCAGACCCCCTCCCGGCTCCCTCTCCCTGTTTAGGTCTTCGGTGATTCCCCAGCCGGGTGCCCAGAGTGTTGACAAGAGGGAGGTCAACCGAGCCCTCTCGGGCACCCTTCCCCACAGCACATTTCATTTTCTTTCTAGCGTTCGCTGCCATCTGCATTTCCTTGGTGACTTGGTGGTCTAGGGGTTTGTGTCGGTTCTCAGAATGAGGCTGGCTGTGTACCCAGCACCAGCCAAGTGCCAGCACAGTGATTGTTCGGTACTTGACTGTTAGGCACTTTTTTTTTGTTTGTTTTTGAGACTTGTTTTGTAGTCTAGGTTGGTCATGACCTCACTGTGTTGCCCAGCTGGCCTCAAACTCACAGCGATCCTCCTGGCTCAGCCTCCTGAGTGCTGGGATTGCAGGTGTGTGCCACCAGACCCTGACAGGTAGTTTCTTAAAAAAAACTTGTATGTTTTGGGGTCAGGGAGATGGCTCAGTGGAATAAGCACTTCCCTGGCAAACGCAAAGGCCTGAGTTCAATCCCTGGTTCTACACTAAAAATAAAAATTAAAAAATAATAAAACTATGTTTTGGTGTCAAAAAGTTTGAAATGTTTTGGGGGAAAAGGTGTAGGGTCTTTTGTTGATGAGAATTCTTTAAAAACACTCACCCAAAACAAAAGCAAACAAAACAACGTGCAGGCCTCACACACAGCAGGTACTCAGTATAGGTGGGTAGAATGAACTGACTGGATGTCAGTAATTGAAAATGACTTTGCAGTCGTGTACCCAAAACAGAAATGAAGGCCCCACCCAAAGGAGGACTGACTCTAAGAGCCTGTCCTGGCGAGTTCTTACAGCCGCATACGCCCCTACAACTCCATATCAGTCCTGATGGTGACTCCTTTGAATAAGGAAACACCCAGCACGTTGGTACAGCAGGTCCAGCTGGGTGGCCACCGGAAGCATGGCCGTGGGCATAGGTGTGGCCCCGGCCCTTCCTCTCTGGCGCTGCTCCTGAGCTCTGGTTCCCGCAGCCAAGGACCAGGCAGCTCAGCTGCAGCAGCCCTTCCGCCCCAAGTTCCGGCCTGGAAACCCGCGACCCTGCACTGCATCGCCTGGAACCGGGAGCCGTGTTGGACCTTTTGGCCTTTCAGCGGCTCCATGCCGCTTCCCCAGAGAGCTCAGTGAAGGGATGAAGTGGCGGGTATGAACTGGAAGCCGATTTTGTTGTAAGAGAGGAGGGGAAAATAAGGGGGAAGACCCTGCGGTGCGCAAGACACAAGAAGGAAGCCAAGTATGGGGGTCGTGGCGCACTGTGCCTGTGCGAAGGCCTGCGCAGAGCGCAAGCGTGGGAGCGCTCTGCCCCTTCCATGCTTTTGCTGTGAATCTAAAACTGTTTGCTGCATCCAAAACAAAAGCAAAAGCAAGGGGCCAGGGAGATAGCTCAGTAGAATAAACGCTTGGAAATGCTGGTGTGGCTGCCATGGCCTCATGAGCGTGGAGGGGACCTACCTGGCGGGGCGTCAGGCGCCAGGCGGCCCACGGAGCTCTGCAGCGCGGCCAGGCGGCTCCGGGCACTGCGCATGGCCTCCGCGAAGCGCGCCTCCTGCCCCTTGAGCAGCTGCTGCAGCTGGCGCACCGCGGTGAGGAGCTGCTGTCTGCTCAGGCAGTTCTGGGGAGAGAAGAGACGCTCAGCGCCCTCCGGGTTTCGGGGGCCCACACCGCCAGTCCACGCCACCCCCCTGCTCGCCCTCACAAAGATCCTGCCTACCCAGGGATCCAGGGGGCAGCCACGTGTGCCCAGCGAGGCCACCAGTCCACAGCCCCACGCATATGCGCCACAGCCTGGGTTCCGCTCCCTAAGACCAAACAAGGGCTGGATGGCAGCCCTGACCCAGCAGGTGGCTGAGCAATGATTTGAACCCAAAAGACCTGAGTCCTTAGTTGTTTCCTCCGCAGGACACTGCTAAATTTCCCACTGTAGAAGACCCTGCAATCTGGGCCTTGTGAATGTTGTCTTTTTTTCTTTCAGGTCTTTTGCGTCTTCACCCTGAGCTACATCCCAGCTCATCTCCCAGGCCCCTTTTAAATTTTTTAAATTTTGAGATAAGGTATCACTAAATTTCTAAATTGCTTAGGCTGGGCAAAAATTGTGCTGCTCCTCTTGCCTCAGCCTCCCAGAGGGCTGGGATTACAGGTGTGCACCACCATGGCCCCCTCTCCCTTGGACATCTTTCAAGATGCTAACACATATAAAATGTGCAAAACTGGAGTGCCCAGTGGCCCCTGTACTTACCGGGGACTGAACTCCAGACCCTGCACTTGCCAGGCAAGCGCTTATTCTACTGAGCTATCTCCCCGGCCCCGGCCCCTGTACTTAAAAAACATGACAGGGAAAATAAGAAAATGCAACTCAATAGTTAGAGGTATTCTGTAAAAGTCAACGGTCAGTTCTGAGAAAATTGTTGAACATGGCAGAAGGAGGAGGATGTTGATACAGACTAACTTAAGGCCACCTAAGGCTCCTACTTACTGATAAAAATCTCTAAGTTTCCAGTCCCAACCGCCATTAGGGGCTAGGACATGAAACAGAGTAAAATGTAGGGGACTCGCGGGTGGGTGGCAGCCGGAGTGACCAGGCCAACACGTGTCCCCTCGGCTGGGGCTGTGTGTCACCAGCACGGTCTCATGTCACCTGCCTTGTGTCCGCCGCAGGCACGAAAATGCCACAGCAAGGCATCGATAATTTTTCTTCAGAGAGAGTTTGTGGATCATTTTTTGATAAGAATCATTTGTTGTAAGTCATTAGGGTAGAGTGTTAACTGTACAGTGTTACCCATAACTTCTTATACTGAAGAAAACCTCAACATAAATGAATAAAAGTAGCAAAGCAGAACGAAGATGTAAAAGACTAAAGATAAGCATATTCTATAGAGAATGTTTCCTACTGTATCTATATGCTAATGTTCTTTATTACATCTTCATAAACTTAGGCTTTGCTCCTTTCTAACATACTTGCCAATTTCATTTTTCTTTTTCTTTTTCTTTTTCCTGTATTTTACAGAAGGGTCTACAGGGTGTTCAGGGTCTCACTACTAGACCCGAAGCGTAATGATCCTCCTGTTTACATCCTCCCAAGAGGTGGGATTACAGGTTCCAGCCACCATACCCAGTCTCAACTGCCATCTCAGCGTGCTCTGGAGCAGGGCTGGCACAGCAGGCCTGGGAATCGAACCCACGGCCTCTGCACCTGCTCGTAGGCACTTTAATCTGTTGAGCTATTTGGCTAGCCCTACCTGCCGATTTCTTATAGTTTACATTTCTTGTAAATCAGTGTTAGTTTCAGATTCCTCATTCAATTCAGCTCTCTGACTTAAATATACAGCTAAGTGTAGCACTGTTCATTAGTGATTACTTCCTTGTCCCCCAAAAATGTTCTGTGATTTTTTTTTTTTTTTTTTTTTTTTGTACTGAGGATCAAACTCAGGACCTTGTGCTTGTCAGGCAGATGCTTATGCTACTGAGCTATCTCCCCGGCCCAGTTCTATGAAATTTTTGCAGGATGAAATGCAAATCTTTCAGTTACAATGTGAATTAAAAACTGTCAATCTTGATTTTATTTACTGCATTAATATTATAACTTAATTAAGCATGACTTTTAGTCAAATGTGTTGTGGAATATAATCATTTATACTAAATGGGAGAAAATGAAAAGGCTTAACAATAAATTAGATAATTTAAAATTGGGTCATTCCCTTATATATTATCTTATATATCAGGAAAGAAATGTCATTATTCTTCAGTGTTTAAAAAAAAAGAAGGGGCTGGAGAGATGGCTCAGTGGAATAAGCACTTCCCTGGCAAGTGCAAGGGCCTGAGTTCAATCCCTGGTTCTGCCAAAATAAAAAATTAAAAAAAAATTTTTAAAAAGGAAGGAAAAGGGGCTGGGAAGATGGCTCAGTGGAATAAGTGCTTTCTTAGCAAGCGCAAGGGCCTGAGTTCAATCCCCAGTTCCGCCAAAAAAAAAAAAGGAAGGAAAGAAAGGTTGGTTGATACACCTAGTATAAAATTTAGATTTAACTGAATAAAAGGAAAATATTCAATAAATAAATCTATGGATGAATTTTAATAGACTGCTTCCACAATTGATCAGTGGGGTATGTGTGAAACATAGGAACATATCCATCATTGTTAGAACTGAGATTAAAATTTGTTCCATATTAAGCATACCAAAAACGCAAGACACATAATTTAAATATTCCCACTGACTATAACAAAAACAAAAACAAACAAACAAAAAAAACCTATGGGGCTGCGGAGATAGCTCGGCAGTCTGCGTACCTGCCTGGCAAGCACAAGGACCGGAGTTTGATCCCTGGTACCACATGCTGTGCTGGCCCCAAAAGTGAGTGTGGTGGTGTTCGCCTGTAATCCCAGCATTGTGGAGGCTTAGACAGGAAGATCACTAAGAATCTGAGCTGTCTAGCAAGATCCTGTATCAGATTTTTAAAAAAAATTTAGGGCCAGGGAGATAGCTCAGTAGAATAAGTGTTTCCCCGGCAAGCGCAGGATTCTGAGTTCAATCCCCAGTACCGCAATAAATGGGAGATAGCTCAGTAGAATAAGTGTTTCCCCGGCAAGTGCAGGATTCTGAGTTCAATCCCCAGTACCGCAATAAATAAATAAATAAATAAATAAATCTCATTTGAAATAAAATAAATAAATAAATAAATAAATCTATGAATACAAAGGCTCCCTAAGGCCGAGATGTAAATGTGAGGTTGTGAGTTCAATTCCAAGTACAGAAAAAGAGAAAGAAAGAAAGAATTCTAATGCACCCTAAAATATCTTCAGGAAGTCAAAAGGTGCAAAAGACTTTTAGACTTAAGTTTTACTTCATAGGAAGATTAATTAAGTTTTCAAAATAGATTTAGTTGTAGTACTACATAGCCAATATTCAATTGCTTACCCAAATAACCTTTTTCTGTCAAATGTTAGAAGAAAAAAAAAGCACTTGAAGGAGTAGGAACGCAGCAGAAAAGGGTGAGGGCCCACTATCCTTTTTCTTAAATTTAGTTTGTTACCTGTATGGTTTTTATGGATAGTAAGCGTGCATTGTAACAGTTTAAATAAAAAATCGATCAAGTTTGTCTAAAATGCTAAACTGGCTGTATAGTACAGTTGACGTTACTGCCTACACGAAAAGCGATTGAATATGAGCTTTACAATTTAGAATACTGTCACAAAGCCAGTGGGGAGACTGGCACGGAGACACACGGCCTCAGCAGCCTGGGTGGCATCCAGCTTTGCCCGCGCAGCGCCGCAGCCACGGCCGCTGCCGCCACGGTGGTGCAGAGGATGCCGCTGCCCAGCGGGGCTGCCAGGCCCGGCGCCTCGGGGCGCTCGGTGGGATGCCTCACGGAGGGTTCAGTGGGTACCTTGGACGGGGCTGGGTCCGCAGTTGCCCCTGGAACTCGTTAATCACAAGGGCTTCTTGGCCTGGCCATAACTGGACCCGATGAGGCGTAGCCCCAAGTGCAACTGCCAGGAGGAGAAGTCTTAATTGATTTCCTGTCTCCTCCTTGTCGTCATCCCTCCCACGCGGGTGGGACAGCGAACTCATGCTCTGCCTGCCGACCCGCACACTCACATCCTACCCTGCAGAGACAGAGTTGCAGCACCCACAGCCTTGGGCTCCACGGACCCCCTTTGGGGAGCACCACGGAGTGTACCGACTGGCTTGGCTTCTTCAGTGGCTGCTCCAGCTACTGGCTGCCAGGACCCCCGTGGGGAAGGCCGGCTCCATCTGTGATTACAACGGTCTGTTCTGTTCCTCTGCACTTCCTAGACCAGGCTACTTGGCCTGGGTCGTGTGGCTGAGGAGGGATGAAGCCAGCGTGGAACCCGTGACTTCCGCCCCAGCCTCCCACCCCAGGGTCACCTCAGGCGCTCCCGCAGGCCCTGCCAGGTTAGTGGTCTCACTGATGAATTGCACTAGGACTACTAAAGCTGAATCAGACAAAATCTCCAGAAGGCTTTCTAGTCCTTATGTCATTTTGAGGTGGGGCAGAGGGAACAGGACCGGATGCATGGAAGAAATGCCCCTCACCCCCCGAGCTAGGCACGGAGCAGCTGCTGTGGTGTTCTGCAAGCTGGCAAGGGCTGTGACAGCTGGAGAGTCCCTGGGGGGGGGGTAGTTGTGAAGCAGGAAGAGATCAATGCCAAGGGCTTTGCTGGGAAGGCGCACACACTACCTGGAAATGGGGGTGCTGTGGGGGGCCCAGGAAATAAGGAAAGGAGCGAGAATATGTGGAGGGAACAGGGCCGTTTTCCTGTGACAATGGGTAGCCTCTAACCTCAGTGCCACTGGCTCCTGGGACACTTCCTGCCTCAGAGACAGGGGCTGCTGTCCCCCAGATGGTCACCAGGGCTGAGATGTGCTTATCACACCAGCTGCAACAGGACAGCCTGAAAGGCCCTCTGACCAAGCAAACTGAGGCACATCCCAGGCCAGGAGGGACAGGGGAGGCATGGCCGTCCCTGTGCCCAGTCTTTGGGTAAGGGTGGCAGACGAAGTGCACAGTAAGGAAGATCCTTGGACATAGCAGTGAGCTGGGGCCCGAGCCAGGGGCCCGCGAAACAGAGAAGTGGGGCCTGCCCACGAGGGGCCAT